TTTTTTCGTCTATATATATCCACCATAATTTGTAACTGAAATAGCTCATCAGAGACCAAAAAAAATATATTTTTCGTAAAAAAATAAAAAATATAATAAAATTCAACTTTTGTTATACCTCCGGTTTCCTTCCACCGGCTCGAAAGAGCCTCAGAAGATTCCATGAGGAGCCACAAGTCACAGAGGCACTTACTTCACGAGATCACAAGGCAGTAAAATGAAGCGAATAATTAGACTTTCTTTCGGAGCCAAATGTGGCATTGCCATGTCACACGCTGTTAGGACCCGTACGCAGCTGCTTTTGAACGATTTGAACTGTCCCAAAACACTCGAAAACTCAAATCTACACAGCACTTGAAAGTTCGTTCTTTGCCTGCAGGCGAAGATATATATGAGGGAGCATTATGGAGGTACAAAATGAAACAACAAGCGTGCAGTTGCTACAATGCCGAGCAAATGAATTGAATCTCCTCTGTTTGATGCTTTCTCTTGCACCTTAATTTCAACTCTCGTTTTCAGTATTTTCTCCATGAGTGTTTTAACAGTCATTCAGCTACATAGCTAACAATCTGTAACAACAAATGAATAACAGCAGTGGAACAAAACCAACAGCATTATTACAGCACAAAATCTTGTGCTAGCATTCAAATGTGAAGCCTCGAATCTTGATTAATCACGGCTATCCGAAACGGGACAAACAAAACATCACACAATATAATCTCACATTACTTGCACTTTAGCTTCGTGAAGCCTCGAATCTTGATTAATCACGGCTATTCGAAACGGGACTATGCAACAATCAAAACATCACACGATATAATCCCACATTACTTGCACTTTTAGCTTCAGCAAAACCGTTCGATATTCAATTCAATTCGGTTATAAACTAAACAATTCACCAATCTCACAATTACGTTGAGATGTCACAGCTCACAAAAACTAAGAGCAGTTCTCATAGTATAGTCATTAACAATTTTTGTGTCCAAAGATAAGATCTATAAGAGCTTTACCCAGAAAGTATTTTCGAAACAACACCACACCACTGTACGAATTCCCGCTGAGGAGAAGACGGCGCGGTGGCCCGCCGTACGAAGCTCCAAATCTGAACCACCGTATTCGAAGTTCCGGCGGAGGCGACCATTAAGACGGAATCTAACTTCGCCACGAGGCCGAGAGGGCAGGGATTGACGGCGTTGAGCTTGGCGGAGGCGTCGATCGGTAATTTACGGCGGCCGGCCGAGCTTAAGTATTTCGAGCTCGTATTTACTGTTCGTTCGTGTTCCTTACGCCATCTCCAACCGAAAAACCCAAACTCAAACCCATTTTACAGTAACTATCCCATTTTGCAGTAATTCATCTTCAACCGAAAAACTCATTCTCAAACCCAAAAGAATATACCCATAATATTCTCTTTTACACCAACTTTTATAACTTTTCAATACTACCCACATATTTTACAAGTTTACAAATTAAACCACACTATTATTTTAAATTCAATTTGGACTTTATGTAATTAAAATTAATTATACATAATAAAATCGGAGAAATAAATATTCATTAAAAATTAAAATTTCACCACACAAATAAAATTAAAACTATTTACCGATTGAATCAAAACTGTTACTTTTGAAAATATATGATTTGATGCAGATTTACACTCTAGACCATATATGGTCTAGCGCATATATTCACATTTTAAAAACTGTTACTTTTTTCATTGTATTAGTGCAAATTAAATGATAGACCGATTGAATCATCTATTTACATATATTCACATTTTAAAAGTGAAGAAGATATATATACATCTATGTACCGATGAAATCAAAACTGTTACTTTTGAAAATATATGATTTAGTGCAGATTTACACTCTAGACCATATATGGTCTAGCGCATATAATCACATTTTAAAAACTATTACTTTTTTTCATTGTATTATGTAATTTGTATCTTTTTGTTTGAACTTATGAAGCATCTCGTGTTGTTATACATAATTTTTTTAATGACTATTTGGGTAATAAATTTATATAATATTACATATTCATATATAGCAAATTATGTTAAATAAAAATAAATAAAAATATATTTTTATTATTTAAGTAATCAACATTTTATATAAGATTAAATATACATATATACCAATTTATTTGAAATAAAAAATAAATAAAAAATAAAATTAATACAAAAAATATATTTTGATAAAAGAAAGGACTAAAATGAAAGATAAAAGGAAGAAATGCGTTTTGCTACAGTCAAAAGCAAATTTGGGTTTTGAGGAGAGAAGAAATGGGTAAAAACTCATTTTGAGTTTGAGTTTGCAGTTTGGTTTGACACTTTTTACTGCATTTTTTGCGTTTTGGGATTCGGTTGGAGAAGGTCTTACGGATTTTTTTTTTTTTT